GTCAAGGGGTTAACCCCTTCATGCTGGGATTCTTTTGACCGCGACTGCTGGGCTGTGGTATGCCCAGTATGCAAAGCCCTGTCCAGCATCAGGCCACAATGATCCGGCAGCTGCCTGGTGAATAGACTGTATGTGTGGTATGCACTAATCCTCACACAAAGCCGCAGCTGTCCATGGTTCCCGGACGCGAAGCGGTTCAAAGAATTGGTTTCTGTTTACACTTCACATACAAGTACATTATGTCTAAATTATTTACCGTGAAGCAATTGTTTTAATTGTTACTGTTTGAACGATGCAGTGTCCAACACCAGTGTTGAGATTAGAGACTGGTCGGCAAGTGCCCCAGCACAGCAGACCCATTCCAAGAAGCAAAAAGGGAAGAACTCTCGGAAGGAGGACGCTTTCAAGACAAGACTGTGCTGGTTTCACACCTGCCACCCCGATGGCTGCCCTCGCTTGGCCAGCCAGTGCCAGTTTGCCCATGGAAACGATGAACTGAGGAAATTGGCAGTGTGTACTCAGCCACACGCCATCCATGTGTAGTACCATTCACAATTCCCTATTTGCAGCTGCTTCGATATAGGAACATTTTCCCATGAAGCCATGGTTACTTTTTTGCACTGCATAAAACAGAAGTGAAACATCTTAATTATTTGCCATCGGAAGTGTGCTGTCCAGTGTTGTATTCGAGGCTATCATAAGTTCCTGTAAGTCCATCACAAGTCATCACAGGTCATCGAGGCTTAAGCCAATTGACAAGCTATTGAAATGAGCTGTGACAAAAGCATTCTTTTGTCATTTTGCACCCTGTTACTTATGACTGGCCTTGTGGAGGGACTTGTGACTGGCCTTATGAAGGGACTTGTGAAAGGACTTGTGATGGACTGGAATACAACACTGGAGCTGTCAGTAGCCACTCAATTGGCAGCTACCATCTTGGACCTTTTTTTTCTCGGTCTCTTCCAGACACTCCTCAACAACAATTTTGGTCATTTGGTCGAGAGTGAGGTTGAGGAATTGCACAGTCAGAAATACTTTTGCCAAAAGTCTTGGGGGCCACAAAATATTGGGGGGGGGGGAGAAATTCCTCAGAAAGCAAAAATCCCCTCCCCCCCCCCCCCCCCC